GCGCTCGCCGATCTAGTTTTTTGTATTTTTTAGTAGAGACGGATTCACCCGTGTACCAGGATGGCTCTCATCTCCCTGACCTCGTGATCCGCCCGTCTCGGCCCTCCCAAAGTGCTGGGGCAAAATTACAGGCTTGAGCACCGCGCCAGGGCCCGGCACAGAGGCAGACATTTTATGAGAGGTTAATCAAGGCCTTCTTCTTGTTTGTTTCCTCGCCCTAGGCGCAAAACACGATTGAACAGTGTGGAAAGTCCACTGCCTCAATATTGTGCTCCTGGGTATATTAACGCATTGTTTGAGGTTCTCACAGGTCTCTCGGCCCTCTTTAATCTGGATCTTCTTTATATGTCTGGAAGTGCCCCCAAAAATTTCCATTTGAATCCCTGTGTTGACTGGAACGGAAGTGACTTTTTTCATCTGGCACTCTGTGGACCAGAAATCAGGCGACTGCCCTTGCAATTCTCCTTCCATCTTTCCTAGATAGGTGTCAAAAAGTTGTTGACCTGTCCTCATGGGTGGAAGAAATGCCAAATGCAGAGCCTTAGTGGGGTGTCATTTGCTCTTAGCCCTCGTGGTAATTTCCAAAGTTATGTCCATTTTCTCTTTGCTCAAGATTGGAGGAAATCCCAGGTACCACTTGACTGGTATCTTCCCTGCCCACCATGGGGGGGAGCTTTTTCCGAGTGAAGAAATGACACTGGCCAGCTTTTTCTACAGTCCAGAAGCTGCACTTATTGTTGGTTAAAGTGAATTAGGAGAACTTGGGAAGGTCAGTTTCGTGACGTAATAGTTGTGGGGCGCAGACTTGATTGAACTGCTCGAACGCTGTTGTTATCGTCGGTCAGATGTCATAATGATGAATGTTTTGTTTTTTTATTGCAAAAAATAACATTATACGGCACTGGCTTTTCCTAATTGGCAGAATCCACATTTTGAGTTGTCTTTCTAAAGATGAGAATGTTTGTGCCAATCCTTTCACCATGCCTTTTGCTAGCTCTTATTTCAGAACAATCCTAAGCATTCTCCAGGTAAATTGGGATGCAGGAGAGTTACCAAACTAAACCTGGACAAGGCTTTCACCTTGGTTTTTGGCTCTTAAACCACAATAGCAAAAGGTATTAAAAAATATATGGCAGTTTTTCCATATAGTAGTACATTTTAAAAAACAAAATTTGGTATCCAGCTAATAGATGATGTAGTAAATAAATAAGCCATGTATTAGAATATTCATTATTTTGGAATATTTATACTGGGCACTTGGAGAAGCTATCTAAAGAATATGACAATCTAGGCTGGGTGCAGCTGGCCTCACGACTGTAATCCTAGCACTTTGGGAGGTTGAGGTGGGCAGATCGTGAGTCCAGGAGTTTGAGACCAGTCTGGCCAACATGGGTGAAACCCCGTCTCTACTAAATAAATTTAGCAATGATGGACAGGCTGTGATCCCTAGCTAGTGGGAGGCTGAGGCAGGAGATTCGCCCTGGAACATGAGAGGAGAGGTTTGGCAGGAGCTGAGATTGCGCCACTGCACTCCAGCCTGGGCGACCAGAGTGAGCTGCATCTCAAAAAAACAACAGCAGGCCAAAAAACTTATCATCCATTAAAATTTGCAGTTTCTTGCATCTGGTCCTCATGTTGTCCGCCCTTCTTTAAAACATCATATTGATCCTATTCAGCCCTTCTTTCCTTCCTTGGCTTTATGCTTACTTCACTCAATCAGAAAAACGAAGAATGGGGCCAGGTGCAATGGCTCACAACCTGAAAATGCCAGCATTTTGAGAAGCCAGGCAGGAGGATCACTTGAGCCGCAAGGAGTTGGAGACCCAGCTGGGCAACCCTAGGGAAGATCCTGTCTCTGGCCAAAAAAAAAAAAAAAAAAAAAACGCTAAGCTGGGTGTGCTGGCACATGCCTGTGGTCTCAGCTAAACAGCCTACTTGGGATGGCACATGCCTGTGGTCTCAGCTACAGCTACTTGGGAGGATCACTGAAGCCCGGGAGGTCGAGGCTTAGTGAGCTGTGATTATGCCACTGCACTCCAGCCTGGGTAACAGCATGACTCTGTCTCAAAAAAAAAAAAAAAAAGAGGTGGGGGGAATATTATAATGACCACCTGTGTTTCTACTGTCTACTTAAGAGGGAAACATTCCATGTATAATTGAAACCTCCAGTGTCTCTTTCTTCCCAGAGGTAACCCGTACAGTTACTTTTTTTGCTTTTATTTCTCCTATGTGTGTTTTTTGTTGTTGTTGTTGTTGTTGTTGATTTTCTGTTTGAGACAGAGTCCGCTCTGTCGCCCAGGCTGGAGTGCAGTGATGCAATCTCAGCTCATTGCAACCTCCGCCTCCTGGGTTCAAGCAATTCTCCTGCCTCAGCCTCCCGAGTAGCTGGGACTACAGGCGTGCACCACCATGCCCAGCTAATTTTTGTATTTTTAGTAGAGACGGGGTTTCACCACGTTGGCCAGGCTGGTCTCGAATGCCTGACCTCAGGTGATCCACCTGCCTTAACCTCCCAAAGTGCTGGGATTACAGGCATGAGCCACCACACCTGGCCAACAGATATTTCAGTTTCTTCTAGTTCTGTTAATTTTTTTTAACATTAAGAAAAAAAATAGAGATAGGGTCTCACCATGTTGCCCAGGTTTGTCTTGAACTCCTGGACTCAAGCGATCCTCCTGCCTCAGCCTCCCAAAGTCCTAGGATTACTGGTGTAAGCCACTGTGCCTGGCTGAAATGTACACATCTTAAGAGTACAATTTGCTGAATTGATAACTTTATACACCTCTGTAACTAGCACCCCAATCAGGATATGGAACTTTTTTTTCTTTTGGAGACGGAATCTCGCTCTGTTGCCCAGGCTGGAGTGTAGTGGTGCGATCTCGGCTCACTGCAACCTCCGCCTCCTGGGTTCAAGCAATTCTGCTTCAGCCTCCTGTGTAGCTGCGACTACAGGCACACGCCACCACGCCCGGCTAATTTTTTTTTTTTAATTTTAGTAGAGATAAGGTTTCACCATGTTGCCCAGGCTGGTCTCAAACTCCTGACCTCAGGTGATCCACCCCTGCTCGGCCTCCCAAAATGCTAGGATTACAGGCGTGAGCCACCAGGCCCAGCCTGAACATTTTCATCAGTCCAGAAAAGTATCTTGTGTCTACTGTTAGTCAGTTGCTACCCTTAATAGGTAACCTGTTTTGATTGCTGTCGTCATAGGATTAGTTTTCCCTGTTCTTTGAATTATATGTAAATGACTCATAATTGCAAACTCTAATGTCTGACTTCTTTTACTCAACCTCTGTTTCTTGCAAGTATCTGTAGTTCATTTTTTAAAATTGCCGAACAGTAAGTAGTTCATTGTATGAATACAGCACAATGTTTTCATCCTTTCTTTTGTCATTACTCATTTGGGGCTATTATGATTAAAGCTGAAGTAAACATTATTGTAAAAGTCTTTTTTTTTAATTTACAGGTTTTGATTTTTCTTTTTTTTTTTTTT